GGGTCAGGCCACGGCCTGGTCCCACAGGCCGAACTGGCAAATAGCCAAATAGGCCCTGGCTGTAGGCCAGGGCAGATGAAGGCCCGCTGCACCATACAACTAAGCTACATGGGAGTCACTGTGCACCCTCATGAAGACCTGTAGTAGCATGTTCAAACCTAGCTCCCGAAGTCCCCGTGCAATCAGGCCTGCACGGCATCTGCTTCAACCGGGGCTGAGCAAGGGGTAGGCACCACTGCTTAGCCCCGGTACCTGCAACCGCTGTCTGGTCAGGTCACCCTGCCATGATGGCAATGGGTGATGGTCCTGGGTGGTTAACACTGGGGTAGGACAGGGGGCGTGGGGGTGCGCCCGGGCAAAAAGATAAGAGGAAAGGTGGGTGGGGGTCTTCAGAGGGGTTCATCTGAACAACCGAGTGGCCGAGTACTGTGGGTGACTGCCATCCATCTAGTAACCCACCTCTACAACAACCTGGGCTTTGAAAGAAGAAAAAAACAAGAAAAAAGAAAAGAAAAAAAGAAAAGAAAAGAAAAGAAAAGAAAAGAAAAACAAAAATCAGCAGTGCGGGCGGGTTCCCGACTGCCAAGGGCAGCCGCCCATGCCGCCGAAGTGGGATTGCCCCCCCCACCTTCTTGGCACCGTGCTTTTTGGCAAGGCCGCCTTATCCCCGTCGAACTGGGGGTAGGACGGAGGTAGGGCGGAGGTAGGACGCCGCTCTAAGGTTAGAGAGGGTACCTCCGTTCAGCTTTCTGCCAGACAGCCAAATCGGATGGGTAGGCAGGCAAAAAGTAGTTTTTTAGAAAAGAAAAAAAAAAAAGGTAATCTATATTCTTCTCTCAATCTATTTCATCTTTCTTGGTAGTACACATCTATCTCATCCTCTCACTAGTCTATTTATAGTACGGGGGAACACCAACCAACCCCGATCTCTCCCCAGCCCAGGGGGTAGGTTTGCACCACAGCTGTGGTGCGAGAGCAAGGCTGTACCAGTCCCTCATCACCAGTCCCTCATCACGGTGACGAGGGGTGTGCAGGCATTGCCGATGGGGGAAATCGGTGGTTCTAGCGCCGAGCAATGGCCAGTCACTGCACCTCCCCCTACCCCCCCCAAACCCCACATGGCGGTGTCTAATGGCCAATATTGTCGCTGGCACTCGCTGCATAGCAGCCAACAACTTCAGCCAAGGTCCTGCCAATGCCGGCCGGCTTGGGGGGCCAATGGGTTATCTGTAGCTGGTAGAACAGCAAGCTTGCCCAGGCAGGTACGTGAGGGCAACGGGGATTGAACAAGCAACCACACATGCATGTAATCCCTTCAGTCTTCAGACAATCACTGAGGGTGAGAGATAGTCGTCATCTGGAAAGGCAATAATAGCTGGTCATCCGCGGTGATTGTGTGAGAAAGAGTATGATGCAATACTGGAGACTCAAGAGCAAAGAAGGAGCGACGGAGGATTCAAAGAGAGGATGATCGTGCTCATCACAGGTAAAAAATCCACACACGAATAGGGAAAGGGGAGAGTGAGGAATAAGGTAAGCAAACACCAATAATGCCTACACGAATTGAAATCATTCATTCGAAGAAAAATATCGCCAGGCAATAGAGCTGAAGAAACCTGTACCACACCAGCGGTACATTTGTGGGGCATGCCTATGTAGTGAAGAAAACGGCTGCATCCCCAAAGGCAGTTCTGCATAATATGGGAATCCAGCCTCGACAGCCAAAGCAGGGAGGGTAATGGAAACCCCTGAAGCTCTTCTCTGCCGCAAGCCACAAAAGCACGGCTCCATCAGACGGAGAACACCTGCTTGATCCCAAGTGCTTGGGAAGAAGCAGCGGGGGAGATGGCAGCATGGTTTGGAGCTGATGCAAAAAAGCCAAGAAAGCCAGAAATCCAAGCAGGGCTATGAACGCGAGAGGTACAGAGGCCAAGATTTCCACAGCAACCTCCGCTCTTTCCGCCACCTCTTCTTTTTGCATTTTCATTGTCAAGAGTGCAAGCATTTTGCAGAGAGCCCAACGAATCAAGTTCCAAGGAATGAAAGAAAATGTGGTCATTCCTCTGCGCACGACAGAGCTAAGCAGTACAGCAAGATGTGCAAGAGGGAGGACGAAGAAGGCGACATGTCTTGTGGTGCAAGGAGCAAGGCGAAGGAGCGGAATGCCAAGATCTTATACCCCGTCCTCTGCGTTCTCATCAGCTGGTCCACAATACCCAGAAAACCACATCACAAAAGAGCACCCATAAACGGTGGCACACCAAGATGTATTTATTTATTTCATCATGACAAGAGCAAGCATCAAAGCAGATCAAGCTCGATCCATTGGGGTCAAGCCTAACAATCTCTAGAACAATAGTTGGACTACGTTCCAAGTAATTTGCCGCTGCGACGTGCCTTCTCTACTAGTAGTGGATCGAAAGCTCTCTACCCACCGATTACACAGCAACACAGCGAAAGCTTTCTTGACGTTCCAAAAAAAAAAAAAAAAAGGGGTCCCACATGACTGCGGTAAACAAAGACCACAGTGCAGTCACTCTCTGTAGTAGATTCTGTACAACTATTCCACAACATCTCCGGCATCTCGGCTGTTGTTGGTCATGAGCCTAGCTCCATGTCGTCCTCAAAAAAATGAAGACCGTAATCTAGGGGAGGCGATCGGGGTGAATGGTGATCGACCCCAATCCTCTAGTGTTTGCTACGAGCCAAGGAAGCCTACACTAGTAAGTTCAACTTGTAGACCCCGACGTCGCTTGCAACAATGCGTATTGCAGACTCCACCACAACGCAAACTGCAATGCCTTCCAACTCAGTGCTAGCACGCAGGCTTGCACTGTCCCTGAAYGCACTTCTTCCCCTTGCCACATTCACAGTCCTTGCAGCACTTCACGCACGGACCAGTAGGAAGGCAGCGCTTCAGTCCCTTCGGGCAGCACGGGAGCTTGCACTGTCCCTGGACGCACTTCCTCCCCTTGCCACAATCACAGTCCTTACAGCACTTCGCGCAGGGACCGTTGGGGACGCAGCGCTTCTGTCCAGCGGGGCAGCCGCACGAGGGCTTGCACTGCCCCTGGACGCACTTCTTCCCCGTCCCACAATCACAGTCCTTGCAGCACGTCAGGCAGGGACCGTTGGGAACACAGCGCTTCAGTCCCTTCGGGCAGCACGGGAGCTTGCACTGTCCCTGGACGCATTTCACTCCCTTGCCACAATCACAATCCTTGCAGCATCTCACGCAGGGACCATTGGGAACGCAGCGCTTCAATCCAGCCGGGCAGGGGCAGGAAGGCTTGCACTCTCCCTGGACGCACTTCTTCCCGTTGCCGCAATCACAGTCCTTACAGCACTTTACGCACGGACCCGTGGGAGTGCACCGCTTCGTCCCAGGGGAGCAGGGACATTTCGCACCGGTGGCATCTGCGAGGTGGAGGACGCTAAGGGTAGCAAGCAGGACCAAGCTCGCGACGGCGAAGGCTGCCAAAAACCGACCCATCTTTGCCAAAAAGTGTTTTGGACTCAACAGCTGGTGTGCTTCGGACAGCAAGTCTTCAGATTGCCCAAATACCAATCCCTGCAGCAACAAGACAAGCACAGAGGAGAGAGACCAGTGCCACAACATGTGGTTAGCGTCACCATTATCAACTCCAACAGTGACACCTGAGCCACATGCCACGAATAGCTCGACCAACAATATTTACCGCGTGCCTTTGGCCAGGTATGAGGGAAATATACCCGACCAGAGAAGAGAAAAAGACAAACCCCGGCTGGATATAGAGGCAACCATCGCTGAGCTTCGCACGCAAAGACAAAAACTTGCAAGCAAGCGCATCCACTCCGCCCCTTCAACTCATCATTCTCACCGTTTCTTCTTTCCCAGAAAGATCGAGTTCGACAAACGATCGTCACAAGAGTAAACTTTTAGCCCTGCACCACTCCCTTGGTGGGGTAAGAACCTCGAGTTCGACAACCACTGTTATCGCCATTTTCATCATTCATCGTAGACCAGGATCGAAGAACAAGAGAAGAAGAAAGATGAGTGCCAAGAACGAAAGCTAGAGCGGAGTATCTACTGAGCTAGAACATGGAAAGCTAGTGCGAAGAAAGAGGAGTGCCAACCACTGACTGGTATTAGCTCAGTCAAGAATGATGTCACAGCAGACTGGCATTAGGGGATGGGATGGCCGCGAGGTGGAGAGATTATAGTCGTAGCTATGAACTGCGAGAGCGAGGAACCGGGGGCAGCAAAAGGAAGGAACAAAGAATGTCTGAATTCTTTCGGAAGCGAGCGCGCATTGCCGCCGTCATGACTCACCTTGCCCGGAAAAAGTGGAATCGCCTCGTACGCTCTTCAGTGACGCTCGGAGGTTTGACGGTCGTAATGCCGCAAACTCATTTTTATATTCGTCACTGTCGAGCCATTCTCCGCCCTACGCGTCACGCCTGCGGCATGTGTGAGGGCACGCTCACACTAGAACTTTTTTACGCATTTTTGGAGGGAATTGCGGCCAAATACATTAAGGTATGGCCGTGAATGCGGTCATATACGTTTGAGATACTGCTAGTGTGAGTACGCCCTGAGTGTGTGCGCCCCGCTCCACTCCTCACCAGATGCACAACGGACAAAAAATATATAGCGGTGTATCTAGCCGAAGATTGTGTACATAGGGGCCTCGCTCCACTACTCTCGAAATGTACAAAACGAGAGTGAATCTTCCGCTAGAACATGGAAAGATACACCGCCATAATGTTTGGCTTTTGTGCAAGTCAACAGTAGTGGAGCGACGCCCTTGGTCAGTAGTGGAGCGAGGCCCTCCGCATTAAACGACGCAATCGGGATCTCTCATGCACGCAGAGGTTCAGATACATCTGCTACTATTTATAGTATCCCTTGCACCTTCGCACCGTCTGTGTGAAAACGCCCTCTCCTTCCTGTTTTTTTTTTTTTTTTTTTTTTTTTTTTTTTGCGCTCGCCATTGTTTGTTTGTTGGTTTTTAGGAACGCCCGCCATTGATGCTGGCCTGATGCTGGTAAGACGCCGATCAGGAACTCGCTGTGGTGGTCTGAAGGTCATCCATGACATTCCCAGAGGGTGACTGCCTGGCATGTATCTGACAGTACTGGGCGGGAAGTGGCGGGGAAGTCTTAGCTCTGTTGGCAGATGGCGCAGTGTGACCAGCATGGTTGCGCCACATGGCGCGCTGCCGTGTGCCATCATCTGTCCCGCGTTGGCATCAGGCCAAAAACTCAATGACCGAACGTACAAAATGAGAACGAATCTTCGGTTAGAATATCGAAAGATACACAGCCATGTTTTTTGTCTTTTGAGCATCTGGTGAGGAGTGGAGCGGGGCGCACACACACACACACATGCCGCAGGCGTGACGCGTAGGGCGGAGAATGGCTCGACAGTGACGAATATAAAAATGAGTTTGCGGCATTACGACCGTCAAACCTCCGAGCGTCACTGAAGAGCGTACGAGGCGATTCCACTTTTTCCCGGGCAAGGTGGGTCATGACGCTGGCAATGCGCGCTCGCTTCCTCGCCCTCGCAGTTCATAGCTACGACTATTATCTCTCCACGTTGCGCCCATATCATCATCCCCTGGTCTCTTTGTTTTTCTTTGTTTTTCTTCTTCTTAGTCAGTCTCTGCTGTGACATCTTTCGTTAATGAGCTAATATCACTCAGTTCTGATTTGACACTCTGTGTGTGTGTGTG